CATATTCAAAGTTACATATGCCCAATATATTTACACATACATTTCTAGCTGTCTGAAATATCTTTCTTTATCATTTCTTTGCATATGTATTCAAAGTTACATATGCCCAATATATTTACACATGTCATTGATATTATTATTTGACCACATTTCTTAATTAAACAAATTGTCTGCAAATCTATGTATTTACCATACATTTAGGAATATGTTCAAAGGCTTTTGATATGTTCTGATTTGACATACATTTCAGCCGACTATAAAGACTAACAAATATATTCCTTTACAATACATTTGACAGGTCTCTGCATATTAAAGGAAATGATGCTTTACACCCCTCTATAAAGTTCTCGTTTTGAATTGGTTTACATACCAGGCAAATATAGATGCACCTTACACTTTATAACCCCTATAAAATTATTTGAATGATGATGCTTTGCTACCTAGACAAAGAAACACATTTGCGGATAAATTTACATCATAGAAAAATACATGACAAAGATTTCGATTTGCAGAGGTATACAAATACATAAGTTTGTGAAAGTTTTGAGATGGTCATAAATATATGCAAATTCTAAACTTTAAAATTGTTTGATTAGGTGTTAATATATTTTATAAACCGCGGTCTCTCATAACCGCCCATAGGAGGGTATAGCACAAGAAATGTTGATATTTACTACATGTAAAGACAAGATAAACTAAATGCAGCGGTTTGTAAATATATGTAAATGTCGGTCTCTGAATACATTTACATAACATTTGCATACCTCTTCAAATCCGGGATTTCGTGTAGTGTTGTTGCTCACAAGGAAGCTATTAAACCAAGAGTTCCAAGTGGTGAAGTTTAAATCATTCCATCGTAAGTTTTACGGACACCTGAGATCACCCCAAGTTTTCGTGGAGTTCGTGTTGCTCAGTCTTTAGTTTTCTATGTTGTGTTTTGTGTACAATTGTTTGTCTGTTTGTCTTTTTCATTTTTAGCCATGGCGTTGTCAGTTTATTTTCGACTTATGAGTTTGAATGTCCCTCTGGTATCTTTCGCCTCTCTTTTGGAAACTAACTCGCATTTTTTTTTATTATTTTGCGCATTATATTCGGACATAAGACAAGAAATGATAATATCATTTTGAAGCATACAATTAACAGTACCAATGGACACTTAATTACTAATAAATGGCTCAAATACGATTTCAGATGAAGAAAACATTATAACTGCCAGAATTTCATTTGTAGACGGACTCACGTGCAGACACAAGGATCAAACGTGCGGCATGTATATGACTTCTGCTCCTTATAACAGAGGGGCACAAATACGGTTACTGAGACAAAATTTTGTAGCATCAGATCACTGAAATTTACAGTTCATAAAATACAGGTTTGACAATGTACTGTTGTTAATAATTCCAATATTCTGTTTTTATCAAATGTGTGTACTATAAGCCTTTGAAACTTTGAAACTTTTGAAACTTTTCATTTCACTAAAGGCCTCACATGAGGTATGATAGTACAAACATACAATGTAACAAATATAATGCATGAACAAAATTAAACATATGTACATGTACAAAATTATCCAGGAGGGTAAATATCACGTAAATATTCACTTAAATATTGACATTACAATTTTACAGAATTTAAACAAGACAACAAGAGTGAATTTATCATTACTATTTATTAGTTCATAGAAACTATCAACATTTTTAACTTTACATATCTCGGCAGGTTAAAAATTTTTTCTTTCAACATTGAAAAAAGTACAGTTAAATATATAGTGAAATTCGTCACCAAATTCTTCTTTGCTACATAAATCACAAACTCTTTCTGACCTATCTATACTAAAAAATATACCACATTCAATGTGTAATCAATGACTACCACATCTTTTACATAAGTTGTAAGGTAATACAGTTAAATAATTTTCCATACCAAATTCAGCCTTATACATTCTGTAATTTAGACATTTAGATGAATTGAATATTTTAGTCTTCCAATCATTTACAAATTAATCATGGTTATACTGTTTCATATCTTTAGATAAATTACAATACTTTCCAACAAATTAATTATTCCAAGCATCAACATATCCACATTCAATCAAAATATCTTTTACATAATATAACCATTTAGAATGATAAACTTCACCACGATCGAGTCTGCACAACATTTCGTACAGTGTATACGAACTTTTCTCTTTCTTACCCGTTACAATACGTTCCCAAAAACCAATCATTCTTTAATGCGAACAGACATAGGTATTCTACCAAGTTCATCATATACAATGCAATTAGGTGTACATTTTTTTAACTTTCATAATGTGTGTACAAAATTCTAAATGCAGAGATTCAACAATATCATTTTTTAATACCCCCAAACCGCAGCACCATATAACAGGATAGGTGCCATGCAGTCATATATTTTGTATTCTTTTTCATTTAACAAATAGAGTTATCTCTCTTGTATAGTAAAATACGCCTTGTCTGTATATAATTTTATCACCGCAGCTAATTAAAATTCTGTACACAAAATTGCTTTGAAAATTTCAGATATTTTGTATTCATAGCGTTGCTGTATGACATCTACTCTGAAGTAAAACAACTAACATGAGAATATAAAAAGCAGGACCATTTCTGTATTTGCAGATCAAGTACGTTGAGCATGTTCCGGTAAGACAATCTTTATCTTGTATTGTTAGGCTTGAACCTGTGTTTTAGTCGTCTGTAACATCGATATGAGTGTTTTTTTAATGATATTTTTAGTGACCATTATGAGGCGTCCATCTTGGGTATTCTATTGGTTTGTATCATTTATTACACATATCTTATGTGTGTCCATTGATATATCATGCTAAGATTATAACATGTATAAGTAAAGTGAAAGATCTGCCACTTAACGAAATTCAAACCAAAAATTTGAACCAAAAAAAAAAAAAAAAAAAAAAAAAAAGAATGACATGTTACTATGTTGGCCAATTTTAAGCTCATTTTGACGTTTAATAATATTAGATGTGTCTTTTCGACTCGACATGAAAAACAAGCTTGAATTGTTTTACATTGTCATTTCGGGGCCTTTTATAGCTGACTGTGCGGTATGGGCTTTGCTCATTGACGAAGGCCGTATGGTGACCTATAGTTGTTAAATTCTGTGTCATTGGTCTCTTGTGGAGAGTTGTCTCATTGGCATTCATACCACATCTTCTTTTTTATATTGATAACACTGCAACGTTCCCAGCCTAAATAACAAGAACGATTGATACAATATTTTTCCTGCAAAACGTCAATATTGATATTCATGCCATTTTATTCAAATTATGAAACCAATTTAAATCAAATGATTTAAATTTTTTTTTAAAAACTTCCTTAAACATTTCAATTTACATTGTTCTGTGAAATAACGGATACTAGTTTTTATTGACTAAATTTGTTTGTATTTTATATCAAAATTTCAATTTCCGTTTTTTACCATTAAATAATTATATTTCCTTTTCTGTGGCTATTCGTCATAACACAGGTAGGATGATTATTTTTATCATAATTTAGTCTTCACATAATTTACACACTATCTTTGTTCTTAGTGGTTATATGCAGAAAAATGAACATCTAATGTTTGCATTAATTACCTCAGATGTAATGCACAACTTAAGTGTACTTTTGCCTTACAATTCTGACTTTTGATGAGTTGACAACTTTGTACAAAGAGAAATTTAAGACATCACAGGAATATTCAAAATCGGGCTTACAAAAAAGATATTCGAGTCTACGTTGGCCTTTCGTTTTATAAAACAAATTAAAGTTAGACCACTCCCTTTTATTTCTCTTTAAGTTTAGTTTAGAAAGGAGAAATATTTGTGTAAAGGGTAAACAAAATCAAATGTTGTCATACTCTTGCAAAAGAAAGGGGACTTAAATTGTATGTAATTCAACAGATCTTTTGAATTTTTAAGTATCTACATCTGATCCACTACACCTCAAGAGTAGGCAGTTTCACAATACCCCTAAACCCGACTTTGATTGCTAATATAATTGATGTTAATAGTTTAGGAAGAGATATCGTGGAGTACTTAGAAGACTCAGCAGTATAACGTTTTTTGAAAGGACACTTGCGTAACTTTAGTTTCCAATACAGGAAAGGAAAATTCTGTTGTTTTTTCTTGGGTTTATGTCAAGGTTACTTAGAACATACCTATGATTATTCAAGATTTCCTCTTTGGTAAGTGTCGTAGGGGTGTTTGTTGAGTTACCAAGTAAATTGTAAACAACTTACTCTGTTATCAATGTATTGATGTAATGTGATGTATACAAACAAACGATGTTGTCTGGGGTTTTACCTGTGGGAACAGCAGCATACTTGTCATGGCGGTTAGTAAGGTGCTAAGCAACGTTTTAGTCTTAATGATCGATGTAGCAATTGTTTTTCGTTTTTAAATTCTAACTTGTATAAACGACCACTTATCCTATTCGGAAAAAAAGTCTTTTTTCACGTTTAGACCATTGCTGGCTAAATCCATCAGTATATTCAAGTTGTGTTTCAAACTAATGGCTAATAAGATAACTTGTCTTTTTTGCGCGAACACCTTTCTGGTAATCTTATCTACTAATATGTTTGATTACAACGAATATTAAAAACGAGGGTTCAGTTAAACAGCATTTTTTCGAACGCTTCAAGACGTTATAAAATGAACAAGTGTCTCAGTAAATATTACAAAAAGGGATAGATAGTCAAAATCATTTCCATGTGGATATACGTTTTTACCTGAATGATGTTTAAACATGACTGGTTAATTGTGTCTTGCTTAACGGCCAATGACAATTGTTTCATGTATATCCAGGACGAATAGAAGAATCAAATAAACGAAAATACAGGCAAAATACACTGTCTGTCAACCAATCGAAATAAAAAAAAACATATGAAATTTCACAGTATTTCACGAGGATGTCTCATGTGCATCCGATATATATGCTTTTTTTTTTATCAGAAAATACCTAAGTCTTTCTATTTTTCAGCAAAAGAATAACACACCAGGCAGTATGAAGCAAGTTTTGTTTTTACAGGTATTACTGATGCTATCCCTGTTCAGTGGTGACTGTTACAAAAACAACATTGTACCAGAAAAAACGGGAAAATGTTACCCCTGTAAACAGTTCTATCAACATGAAGAATTGCACGTTAATTGTTCTTATGAAAATTTGAGAGCTGTCCCAGATACATCGGCTAACACGGTTTACCTTTATCTACAACATAACTTAATCGGACAAGTACCGAATGAAATCTTTAACCATCTGAACAAGCTTGTTTTGCTAGATCTATCTTTCAACACAATTATTACAATCAATGCAGATTCATTCGCAGGTCTGCAGAATCTGCGCTTTCTCTATCTCAAAAGTAGTTTGCAAGATCACATTGATACGAGAATACGTTTGCCAAAGAATGCATTTAAACATTTAGTCAATCTTACAATTTTGGATCTATCCTTCAATATCATACACATTGATCAATACACATTTAGTGGACTTGTGAACCTGCAGCAACTTAAACTCAACAGTGATTGGATAAGAAGAATACCAAATGATACCTTCCAATACACACCAAAGCTTATTATTCTTGATCTATCTTGTGATTTTTTAAATAATGTAACTAAAGGTATGTTCAATGGACTTGGAAACCTGCATCACCTTTATCTCAATGCTAATTTCATTGAATCTATTGAAAACAATGCATTTCAATCGTTAATTAATCTAACTGTGCTAAATTTAGAGTTTAATTTAATACATTCAATCAATAAGCAAACGTTTTCTGGACTTCCAAAGTTGCGTCATCTAAACTTGCATTTTAATTCTATAAACAATACATCAGATCATACTTTTGAAAATTTGATAGATCTTCGTGTACTGGATCTTTCAAATAACAAACTGCAGTCTGTAAATGGAAAGACATTTATAGGACTTAAAAACCTGGAAATTCTAAGACTCAATTCGAATAGCCTTAGGTATAATACGAACCGGTTACCTCCAGGATGTTTTAAACCTTTAGAATCACTCAGACAACTTTCTGTTCAAATGAATAATCCACGAAGTGCAATTGATGCTTTCGTACTTCCAGATGAGACAATAAAAGATTTGAAAATGTTGAAAACACTGGAATTAGATGTTAATGCTGATAACGAGAGAATTGTAGGTATAGGATTTTCTTCCTTAAGTAAACTCTCCTCGCTTATTTTCAGTGGTGTCTGTAAATTTTCTTTATATAATGACACATTTAGATATACACCAAATTTGACACATTTTAGCAGCATACATTGCGATATAAAATCCATAGAGACTGGTACGTTTTTGTTTCTAACCCAGCTAAAATTTGTGGAACTAGATTTTGTATGCATCTTGACTCTTGACCGTTATAACGCAATTGACATCATTTCGCTTTTTTCGAAGACACCAATTGAAATTTTGAAAATGAATAATATTTATTTAGGAACTTCAGTTTTCCGATGGGAAGATTTAAATATTCTACTACTCGATACGCCAATACGTGAACTTCATATAACAAACAATGATAGTTGTTTTTATAGTAGGAATTCTTTTCCATTAAAAAGTATTATACCAGCGCCAGTCAGTTTGCAACTTCTTGATTTAAGTAACAATAATATAGATCAAATAAATCTCAATTTGACCTATGTTATATACCTGAACTTGTCAGGTAATCTACTCGGTAAGTTTTTAGAGGAATATAGCTATGCGTTGAACGAAACACGCAGACTTGAGTTTATATGTCTCTCCAATAATTCAATCGAGCACATTTTTTCTAAACTATTCGTGAACCAGCCGAAATTACGAAATATCGATTTAAGTTTTAATAAGCTTACGTATGTGAGTTTTGAATTATCTCATTTAGTAGATTTAGAGATTTTAAATTTGTCAAGTAATACCATACGTTTTTTGGACGACGGGTCAATGAAAAAACTAAACAGACTTCTCGGGATATATAAAAGTATAAAAGTTGACCTAAGCAACAACACGTTTCAATGTAACTGTTACAGTATTCCCTTTTTGAATTGGACGCTGAGGAGTCGTCATCGTTTTGTCAACTTTGATACATACAAATGCACGTTTCACAATGGAAGCAGTCTGGACTTGAATTCACTTAGAAAAGAAATTCTAATCGATCTACAGCGTGATTGTTTGAACTATTCAATTTCAATAATTATCACATGTTCTGCTATGTTTGTCTTCATAGTTATTTTAGTTATAATCGCCATTCACAGACACAAACAAAAACTCCGATTCATGTTTTATTCATTTAGAGGTAGACTTCACTTTCTATATTATCAAACAAAGTTTAAGAACCGGTTTCGGTCTACAAAACAGTCAGAAAACAAGTTGGATTATATTTATGATGCCTTTGTGTCATATTCAGATGAAGATCGAGCATTTGTATTGAATGAGTGTATTGAAAATCTTGAAAACGACGGAAATTTAAGGTTATGTTTACATCATCGTGATTTTGTTCCAGGACACGATATAACAGATAATATTATACATGCAATTGAAAGCAGCAGAAAGACCATCTGTATAATAACAAGATCTTTTCTTCAGTCGTATTACTGTATGTTTGAATACAATATGGCTAGAATGGAAAGTATTCATTCAAGAAATGGAAAAAATGTTCTCTTTCTTGTATTTTATGAACAATTGTTACCTGAGGAGTTACCTTTGGTTTTATACGAAGTGATTCAGAAAGAAACATATATTGAATTCCCGAATGACGAACATGGAAATAGGATTTTCTGGGAAAAAATAAAAGATGGTATCTTTGCTTAGGCATCTTAGCAGCAATAACCGTAGGCAGATATTAATACAAAGATATCCGTATAAAGAACATGGTAAAAGAATTTGTAAAGAACGATACATGTCCTTGCAAAAATATCTTTCGTAACAAAATAAAAGTTTCCTACTTAGAAATGAATATGTCTTCCATACAACTGATAACATGATGTGTGACTTGGATTATGTTTGATTTTCCATCGAGCATAAGTAACATATTGAACTAAGCAATACGCATTATTAAAACATTATATTTCCAACTTGCATTATTCGTAGAACGCAGTGATCAAATCAACTATGAACATATCAGTTGATTAAGAGCTGCGGTAGTCATAATATTGTGTTTGGCAATGTAAATTAAGTGTTCCGAAACTATTTTTTTTAGGAATGATTGTGCTATTATGAGATAACAACTTGCGTGTCTTGGACTATTATTTGATATTGTTAAAAAAATGTTATATTATTAATTTCATCTATATCATATACAATTTACAAATTTATCATGTTATACTGTAATGATGTCTGGTTTTAAACAATATCTATAAAAGCATGCTCTTCCATAGCATAAGGATAAATGATTACTAAGCGTGGACTTCCATACTTTTGAAGTTGACATAAGCACCCTGTGCAATGGACTCTCATAGCGTTATGTGATGGCATACGCTTTCTTCGTAGATATGTACACACATAAATTATGAGTTTACATACGCTTTGATTGTAGGCATGTGCACACATTAATTTATGGGTTGACATACGCTTTCATTATAGGCATGTATAAATAACGGTATAAGTAAGTTGGCGTTCGCTGTCGTCTAATGCTTTCCGCAAATGCACATAAAGCAATTATAATCAAAATCACAGGTAGAAATTTAATTTTGTTGAAGCAATTTTCTGCAATTGCAGTATTGCATCAACTCTATACTTGGACGTATATAGAAAAGATTATAGAAATGACAAAAGTACAAAAGTAAAAAGAAAGGCTTGATTTGTTAAAAGTACAGTAAAAAGGTGTATCGATAGACAAACAAATTGAAAAAGGATCAAAATATTGTACTCATTCTGTCAGTTGCAAACAGGGTTATCAGGTCATAAAAAAATGATTTTTCACCCCATTGTCAAAATTCGTGTAAACGGGGGAAATCTAATAAAATATCTGTAGATTCTAGTTTGAATAAATGTACGAATATTGTAAATATTGGAATATCACCTTTTGAAAATAATTTGAAAATCAATAAAAGGGTTGATAATATGCCCTCATCTAGAATAAAAAAAATCTTCATTTTACGACTAAATAGTTATTAATGCTGTGCTGGTATGACGACAATACTCCACGGATGATCTTAAGAACGAAATTTTAAATTCATCAGCATCCAGGTCTGTGCGCTTCACAGAGTCAAATAGTAAACATTCGTATAATTGCCACATCTAAGTATAAGACCGGCAGTGAATATTTGAAGGTCCCTATTATGTATTAGATACCTAAGCTACACAACGAAGCCGTCAAATATCGTTTGAACTCGGCCTATATATTGCACTTTGTAAATACAGCTGAATCACGAACCATGCCACGTTTGGAGAAATATTTGATATTCATAGGTATTTTGTTTTGTTTACCTACTGGTTCCTAAATATGATCTTCATGTTTCATCTCGTAGAGACACAACTTAAAAATATACACAGCCATATGGTTTGACGTTAACAAAAAAATAGTAGTGCATGGGATCTTTCCTTTCCAATATATAATTTTTTACGAAACTTCATAATAAAAGGGACACAATTTTAGCCGTAAAAGGAGTTCCTATGTGAAATTTCATTGTCTATATTTACAGTACAACCTCAAGTAAGTGTAACACAATCTTTATGTGTTTTTACTAGCTCCCTTACTTCTTTCAAGGAAATTATCTTCAAATTTTGTTATAATCATATACAAATAATGATTTTGATTATTTATGGAGTGTAAAATATTCTTTGGATGTATCAAATAAATTACATGCTTTTGGTTGTCCTTTTATTTGGTTGACAGTTTTCACTTCTCGGCTCTCTATACTACACTTCCGCACAATCTTTTTAAATACAAGTTGTAGTATTGAATAAAATGGTCCTTTTGAAAATCTGATGGCATAGTTATTATCTGCAACTGATATAAAGCTTTCTTTTATATTGAAAAAGGTGAATATCTGAGATTTACTTACTGGAGGTCTGTGAGATGAATAAAGCTGGTAAATAAACTCATCATAGATACCAGGATAGAAATTTTATAATTGCGCCAGACGCGCGTTTCGTCTACAAAAGACTCATCAGTGATGCTCGAATCAAAACATGTTAAAAAGGTCAAATAAAGTATAATGTTGAAGAGCATTGAGGACCAAAAATTCCTAAAAGTTTTGCCAAATACAGCTAAGGTAATCTATTCCTGAGGTAGAAAAGCCTTAGTATTTCAAAAATTCAAAGTTTTGTAAACTGTTAATTTATAATCATGACCATATCAATGATAATTCATGTCAACACAGAAGTGCTGACTAATGGGCTGGTGATAATATTCTCCTTGGCAACATCTATGTAGTGAATTTTTGGTAGTGAAGTTTGTCCACATGTTTAAGGCATTCATACGGGTACTAATTGCGTCCTTTAATAGCAGACTTAATCCTGTACTGTTATGAATCACAGTGTATGGCCAAACTTAAAGTAAAGTGCAACAACATCTACCTTTATCTTGGTGATATTCTTACTTTTTCGTTAAATAATCAAGAATTCTCTAAATATACTACCGACATTTACCCAAAGGAACTTTCTTTGAATAAAATAATAGCTGCTCTTTCTAGTGGAGTGACTAATCAAGAAAAAAGTGCTTATTTTACGACTTTAATGGACCGACATGACTGCAAGCTAAAAATCATAGTCCTCAAACTCTTGATTTGGTATCTTATGAAGAGTTTAAGTAGTAAGTCATATTGTAAACTATACTTTCTTCTTTTTTGCCTTATTTTTGTTCGATTTCACTCAGTTTTAGAATATGCACACTGTTTTATGTCAACGGAGTGGTTACAACATTTGTAAATTTACATTGCATCGATATCTTCCAATTTTTTTGCGCTAAAAAGTAATAAAACTTCATTTTGTACAGTTAGGAGACCACTCCGGCTCGGCTTTTCGACATATTCTAATATACATTATAATTCAGTGAATATCCGGATTTATTTCTCTTACCGATACGACGTAGATTTACTTTTTATTGACGAATCGCTTCAGGGAAAAAAAGTAGTATTACATATTCCCAGCTTTAGTTTGGCCTTTTGTGTACCCAAGGCAGGTGAAGGAAGTCAACTTAGGAGCGCTGTGATTGGATGTAAGGGTACAATATAATTTTTTGTTTATTTATGAATAACTGCAAGGTGTATATTCACAATATAAATTTTGAAACCCATTGAAATATTTTCTTGAAAATTATTTGAAAAAACTTCCAAATTTTCATAAATTTGATGTAAAATGATGGTGGGCATGGATACCATAAACAAGCTCCGTTGGAAGATGATCATGATACTATTTGACTTCAATTTCTAAAACAGAATAATAAAGTACTAATACCACACATAACTGTTTTGTCCAGGTTTTTATTATAAAAAGTGGTAATTTTAGAAAATATTAGCATTGTCGCCTATGGAAGAATAAATAAGACCGTTTTCCGTTCAGATCTACATCATACTATTGTTCGTGTTTGTGTCAATTAAATATGTTTATTGAACAATGTTTTAAAAAGATTTAAACTGATAAATGTTTGCCAAAAAGATATTTTATCGTGTTTTTTCTAAAAGTTAAAAATATATTTTTTATAACAGTAAAAGTCAAATTGGAGTGGATAAGTGTTATTCCCGAATATATCTACGTAGTCCACTAATGCTGACTTCTTCGCAAGCAAAGAGAAGCCGCGCTTTAAACAACTGGAATTTTTATTATATTTCTTAGTCTGTTCTGAGCAGATAAATGCCCATGCCTTTTGACTGGACTGCTAGTATGTTCTGCAAGCACACATCGTAGAAACGCGACAAACATCTACGTTTCACTGAATCTGGCGAAGTGCTCGAAAAAATAATAGAATTATCTTAACGAAATCAAGAATTAAAATCACTCCTTTTTTGCAAGAATTAAAATCACTCCTTTTTTGCAAGAATTTCAAACCAAGGGCCCTTTATTACAGGTCATACTCGGTTATTTTTTTGACATTCCGAAGAAAGAAAATTTAACTATGAGTTGAATGTTTTACGAGAAGGCTTCTCATTGCCTGATTGATGTTATACTTGAAGACTTGCTTGTGCACAAAAAGCCTTTGTCATGTCTTTTCTTTTGGTAAAATACTGTTTCCTACTTCATAAATTGAAAACAACGTACGATTCAGCCAAACTACAGTGTAAGTTAGGAAAACATTATGGAAAATCAATCGTTATACGGAAACAAAAAGGGCGGGGAGAATCAAATGTTGGGTTCAGTATTTCAATTTCGGAAGCCATTCAAGCAGCTCATCATGTAAAATTTGGATAAATACTGACAGAAATTTAAACGGAAATTAAGACACTATTAATGAAGAACGAAAATGACATGCAGCCGCTTCAATAGTACTTAGTTAAATGCAGTCCTTAGATATAACAAATAGGACTTACCTTACAACATCTGTAATATCTGTGTTATATTCCATACAACACAATCCTTGCTTACTTAAGAAGTTCTTGTTATGAATAGTTGATGTTTAAGCTTACAATGGTAAGGGTAATACTTCTGAACTTCATGACAACAAGATGTCTAAAGTCTTAGCAATAGCAGAATGTATAGTTCTATTAAGCAACTATTTTTTTTTTTTATCCCATTTCATCTTTAATTGGCATTACAATTACACCATGAGTTTGGATAAAAAATAATACGAATGACAATCTAAATTCCCATGGTTTTCGTGCATGATACTCGGAAGTACGAAGATATCTCACTATAGAAAACTTTGAAAAAGCCAAAATCCAAACATGTGATATTTACCTAATGGTATTGCTGCATTTGAAGAAGGTGGTCATATAATAAAAGAGGTAGCTTATTATATTGACATCACTGCTGAGACAATTGAGGTTAAAATACTTTTTACTCCATACTTTTGGTTGTCTTTCAGTAGAAAGTTATGATTTAACAAGGCATAACTTTGACGTTTGATGATTCTAATACCAAACTTATGGCATGCTTACCAATCGACAAACTAAAAAGAAAACATATTGACTTTGTTTTTCCTATACTTATTGGGAGAATCAGTTTTGTTTTAAGGAAAATATAGATAATTCGGACATGTCTTAGATATTTATCCGACTTATTTCAAAACAAAACTTAGAACCAATACCCATTTCTGCAGAAATCACTGACAACATTTTCCCAATTCGGACAAGCTTTTACAAAAGGCTATCAGAATTCAAATTTGTATATACGTTTCTAGCTTATGCTCGCAATATGGCAACATTTTATTATATATACCACTATAAAATAATGTTGAAATATGTTCAGCAAAATGATGTTTTATTGTCCCATGTTATAAGACTATGAGAATTTCATGGGCTTTTATCTTTTTTTTTTATAGCAACAGTTAATAAGTTATTAACTTCAGCAGGGCTAGATGACATATGTGTTGACTCTGGAGTTTATGCTCGAAATACAGTACGCATACTCTTATTTGCGAACAATTTAATCGTGCTGTTCCGAATTAACACTGACCTATAAAGCTCTCATGGTTCCTTTATTTAGAGCATTTTTCAATTGATACAGAGGCATAAACTGTATAAAAAGCATTGAACCAAAAGTATGGACGGTGTTCCTTGACTGTCAAAGTTCATGTTTTGTCTTATCCAAAAGCACTAGAGGTATTAAAGTTTTTTTTACAGTTTTAAAAGGCCACATATTTGCTGGAAGAATTGAGAACACATACCGGTTTTCTTCGAGAGACATATGTTATCATATTTCCTTCAAGAACTTGTTTTTATATGCAAGGGCACATAACTTGAAATAAAAAAAATGTGTATGCAACACACATCGTTCGGCTTGTACAAGTCTTTGATCGTGTGGAGAGTCTGATGGATATAGGAATCATTTTACTCACTAAGCAATTTCTGAAGAAGATGACGATGAAAAAAACGATGCCTGAACAAAATAAGTATAGTTAGAAATATTGTAAAATCACTTCGTATTAATATATTACAGTAGAACTCATGGAAGGTGGATACAGCTTTGACTTTGCGAATGTTTAAACCCAGAGAAGAACAATGAGAAGTCCGGTGTTCTGAAAATGTTGTGCACTTAACGGATCCTCCAGCAACTCTTTCTGAGGGGTTCATAGTAGGCTGCTTAAGTAGAAATTATTGCCCATACAACTTCAATGTTCAGAAAAATATATGTTTACCTATCAGTACTTATTAAAACCATTTATATTCTATTAGTAGTGAAATATTTGCCGCTAACAACCGGTATATAATTAAACAGAAATATAATAAACTTCGATTCTTTCTTGAGAAACCCCGTAAAAACCAGAAATATATCTTTAAATGTACATTTACTTTTATAAATTATAACTTGGATGGAGAGTTGTCTCATTGGCACTCATACCACATCTTCCTATATCTATGTAATATACAAAATTTCAATTGAAAGCAATTTTCTGTTTTGTTTTTGCCTTTTTCTTGTTGCCCACCTGAATTTCCTTAAAAATAGACTTTTGCCGATTACATTTTTTTTTCAAATTGACTCGACAATGAACTGCTATTATTTATTCTTTCGTTAAACGGGTTATTTGTTTGTCTATTCAGATATTATTTCCTAACTTTGTATAACCCATTGTGAAATTTGTTTACACTAATGAAAACTCAACTTTCTAACTTTGACCTCAAATTTAACAAATTTGCACCATTCTTCGATTCTACGACGAGGCAAAATTTAAAGGTTACACATCTCTCTAAACGAAAAATCATAATTCAGCCTGCAGTTAGGGCGGTCCATTAAAGTTGAAAATTCGTTGGCTTGGTCACTCCACTACTCCTAGATTTAGATATTTCCATTTCACACGGAACCTCTATACTAAATTTTACGACAAAAGGAATGATTCCGTATCGCTAATTTTACTTTTTTGGACGAAGGTCGGAGATGTTCTTTTGGCTCAATTTAACGTTAAAAATACCGTAAAGCGGGTTATTTTCGCGGGGTGTTTATTTTCGCTTATTTATGTAGATAAATGAAAATCGAGAAAATAAATTCCGCGAAAGTTTATACAGACGTTCGGTTCTTTCTACTTGCTAATAGCTTTAGCGTTTTGTGAACGATCTTTTTTACCCCGATTGGCAGGTCAATAACGTTATATGATAGTTTTAACAACATAGATACCAACAAATTGCACACATATATTGTTAATTAGTGTCAAATAATTAAATGAGTGTAAGGTATTTTGTCAGGTATTTTACCCTTATTAATTAGTGTCAAAAGATATATAAGAGTTTGAAGTCACTCTTGATAACATTTTTTTTTTAACCTAAGACGTTTGTACACATGTGACAAATATCTAAATTACCGATATTCTATTAATAAACTTTATCAGAATGTAACCAATAAGTAAGTCGTCATTCAGATATATTTTAATCATACCAATAGACATTTGTTTGATTGAATGATAATACAGATACTCGCTCGCTTTTTTTACTGTTAAAATAATCATTTCTTGTATGTATACAGAACTACATCAAAATTACGATTCACTGTTTTCTTCCTGTCAATTTTGCAACTTTTTAAGTGCAACCATTTTAATATCCGCCAAAATATTTAATGGGAATTAAGAATTCGCAAAAATAAAAATCGCCAAAATTTTTCGTTCACTTTCTTGCCCATAAATCACGAAATTTTACACTCGCGAAAAAACCCACTATACGGTATGTGAATCACTGAAAAATTATCAACTCAAGGATTTCGTTACCACAAAATATTTAAAATTCGTGTATAAATACAAAAACTTGGTTTGGGTGTTTGATTGTACATGTATACAACTAATAACTACACGGATATCACCTAATTTTTACGGTGAAATTGTTTTATAGCCTGGAAATAGAGAAACAATCCATGAAAGCTTATCGATCCTTTGAATAAACTTTTTCTCAAAGTTTATCAATTTAACACATTGTAACTAGATCTTTGAATAGTGTTTTCATCGGTATTAGCATTAATTTTCTATTATTGAATCAGTTGTTAACGCTTACGGTTCGGGCCGACTTCCTGTCGATGTTTATATTTTGGCATTGCACAATGTCATGTTTTTCATAGACTGTTTATGACGTCTTTACACTAAATCCATTGAATTTCATTAATATTTTGTCTTGGATACATCATTTTTTCATTGGTTGTTGTTGGGTTTGAACTATTGCAGTGACTGTGAATTTTCTGCTATCGGTACTTTGTGGCTTTAGTGTTTTGTTAGTTATTTCGTTTTGCTTTGTATAGGTCTGATGAGTCAAATCCTTTTCAACTGAGTTGAATAGTCTGTTCTTATGTTGTGCTGTTACACAACTGCCCCAGGTTAGAGGAGGGTTTGGCGCTCGCAATTCCTCCTCGTTCATGTTACAATAGATGAAATGTAGGCTCTAGTATATTGTGATAAACACCACCATCCAAAAGTAATGAACTCTTTTAAGAAAGAATACTCAAAAATAAAAGACCAACACATTTACTGAAACCCTGGATATTATCGGCATCAAATGTTATGATTTTAATGGAAATTTATGACGACGACGAACGCAATGTAATAGAAATAGCTCACAGGTCGAAGTTAGCTAAAACTGAGAATATGTATATCCGTTACAGAAATATGCAATTCATTTGTCGATATTATTCGGATGTGCTTTTTTTAACTGATTGTTTTATTGTACATGATGAGGTGTCCATCCTGGGTAATTTGCCCATTCTATTGGTTTGTATCATTTATTACATATATCTGTGCACATTGATAAATCAACCTCATATTATACGTATAGTGTAAGATATGCCCCCCTTTTCGAATGTCAAACCAAAATATGATCCAAAGAATAAACGAAATGTTATTTTGTGGATCGATAGGAGTAATGATCAATGCATAGCCCTTTCTCATATGACAGGGTTATCGCTGTAGGTGACGTTTTTTACTATATGAAATACTGATCGACATAAAAACTTGCTTGATACAACTGTAGTGTACCTAGTCTAAATACAAAAGACCATGATTATAATAATTTTCCTGGTTTGCTGAATATCTAAAATGATATTCACTGCAAAATATTCATTATATTTAAATTATGAAACCAATTTGAATTAAACGATTTACAAAAAATACTTTGTATCAATTTCCTCAAACACTTCTACATTGGTCTGTGCAATAACGAATGCTTGCGTCAATAAAATCACATGGTTTCTTTTGTAATTTAAAATTTCAATTTCCTTATAGACTATTTAAAAATTGTTTTCATTTTCTGTGGCTGTGCGTTATAACGCTGGTAGGATAAAAAGTATTATTATAATCTAGTCTACACTATATTCAATTAACGCACGTCATTGTCAAACTGCCTGAGCAGAGCTAAGGTGTACATTAAAAACCTCAGGTAAACTGTACAGTTTATTCTTTCCTTACAATTACTTCATTATGGATCAATCGACAACTTTGTACAAACTTCATCGTAACGAAATATGATGTATTAGTGTAAGGGACGTATCATCTAATCTGTACAACTTAAATATATTAACTTAATTGTTCAATAACAGAAACTTCACAAAGAAAACGTTTAAATGAATACATTTATTCAAATTAATGTTGATTGTTAACCCATTCGGTTCCCTCAGTGCAAAATTATAATTACTTTGCTATAGTGAGCATAATTTGAATATATAAAATTGAGAATGGAAATGGGGAATGTGTCAAAGAGACAACAACCCGACCATAGAGCAGACAACAGCCGAAGGCCACCAATGGGTCTTCAATGCAGCGAGAAGCTCCTGCACCCGGAGACGTCCTTCAGCTGGCCCCTAAACAAATATATATACTAGTTAAGTGATAATGGACGTCATACTAAACTCCAAATTATACACAAGAAACTAAAATTAAAAATGATACAAGACTAACAAAGGCCAGAGGCTCCTGACTTGGGACAGGCGCAAAAATGCGGCGGGGTTAAACATAGTTTAGTTTGCTTACTTAAACATTACAGAGATCATACTCCAAAAAGATATAATTGACGGTTAGCGCTATTGCTAGTTTAAAGTGATCGTTGGAATAAAATGGCATGAAAAACAACAAGACAAGGGATTACCACTAATAAACGGACCTTAAAAACGCAAAACTATTTTTTTTTTTCATTTTCAAATAGTCAATACTTGTGAAATACATATATAAACATTAATTTCATTCATTATTTCATCGTCCAAATATAGAGTTTACATTTCGAAAGTTGAATTGGTTACGTCATGTTTAATGTTCAAATCATGTACTGAAAAGTGACATAACAAAAATACCGAACTCCAAGGGAAATTCAAAACGGAAAGTCCTTTATAAAAAAGCAAAATTAAAAGCTCAAATACATCAAACGAATGGAAAACAGCTGTCATATTCCTGACTTGGTACAGGCATTTCCCTATATAGAAAATGGTGGATTAAATCTGGTTTTATACACATTTTGTTTTAATAATGGGTGTGTCCATCATCGAAGGCAATCAATGCTGGTAACCATCGCCTAAATGAGAAGTCGACCAGTTCTTTGTTCAGTTGTATATCAAAAGCTCCCATCAAGAAATTCGTGGGACACCAATAGTTCGGTTTGTCTTATTACCAGGTTATTCATGATCGTGATTTGATGAAGCCAAAAAATGTTTTGAGTTTTTAAAGTTCATCATTATTCTGTTAGTTTATATCATTTATCACATATATCTGAGCCGTTGATTCACAAACTTTACATAAAAGTGTTTTGGATTTTTATTCAGTCTGTGGGTAAATCGTCCGAGATTACAAATCAATAACTTCTAAAAAAATCCTTTTAATCGTATTTCATTTCACGAGATTCTTTCACGTGCATCCAGGACATTTCCTTTCTTAATCAGCAAATACGCAAGTCTTTGTATTTTTCAGCAAAAAATAAATCACCAGGCAATATGATGCAAGTTATGTTTTTAAAGGTATTATTGATGACTTCCCTGTTCAGTGGTGACTGTTACAAAGACAACATTGTACCAGGAAAAACGGTAACAAATTTCCACTGTAATCATTTTAATAAACATAAAGAATTACACGTTGATTGTTCTTACAGAAACTTGACAGTTGTTCCAGATACACCAGCTGACACGGTTTACCTTTATCTACAACATAATTTAATCGGACAAATACTCAATAAAACATTTGCCCTTTTGAATAGGTTGGATGTCTTAGATCTATCTTTCAACAAAATCACTGCAATCAATATAGATTCATTCACAGGCCTCCAGAATCTGCGGTTTCTTTATCTCAGTGGTAATTCACGATATCAGGAATTAAGTTTGCCAAAAAATGTATTTAATCATTTAGGCAGTCTTACTGTGTTAGATTTATCCTACAACAACATAAACTCAATTCATGAGTACACATTTGGTGGACTTGTTAAACTACAGCACCTTAAACTGAACAATAACGGGATCGACAAATTACCAAATGATACCTTCCAATACACACCAAAGCTCGTTATTCTTGATTTATTTTATAATTCATTATATTCAGTAACTAAAGGAATGTCCACTGGACTCGGAACCCTGCATCAGCTTAATCTCGGTGCTAACTTCATAGAAAATATTGAAAACAATGCGTTTCAATTGCTAATCAATTTAACTGTATTGAATTTATTTTTCAATTCGTTGCATTTAGTCAATCAGCAAATGTTCGCTGGGCTTCCAAAGTTGCGTCATATCAACTTAATGACCAATCAAATGAAAGAAATATCAAATCATACCTTTGAAAATTTAACGGATCTTAGCATACTGGATCTATCAAATAACAAGTTGCAATCACTGAATGAAAAGACATTTTTAGGACTGAAAAACCTTAAAGTTCTAAGACTCAACAATAATAAACTTAGATATAATACGCAACAGCTGCCTCCAGGGTGTTATAAACCTTTAAAATCACTGAAACAACTGTCTGTTCAAAAGAATAATCATCGACGAAAAGACCTTTATACGTTCATTCTTCCGGATGAAACTGTTAAAGATTTGAAAATGTTGGAAATACTGGAATTAGATGCTAATGCCGATGACGAAAGAATTCTAGGGATTGGATTTTCGTCCTTACATAATCTTTCTTCAATGATTTTTAGAGGTTTTTGTAATTTTTCTTTATATAATGACACATTCAAATACACGCCAAATTTGACACATTTAAGCATTATGCATTTATGTTCATAGAGACTGGAACTTTTTCGTTTTTAACCAAGCTTGAATATGTGCAACTAGATTTCTTTTGCTATGAACTTTCTTCTAAGCCGTATAACTTGATTGATATCATTTTAAGCTTGTCCAAGACACAAATTGAAGTCCTCAAAATGAATAGTGTTCTTGTAAGAGAAATGGTGCCTTGGAAAGAAATGAATGTTCTGTTGTTTGAAACGCCAATACGTGAACTTCATATAACAAACAATGACCATTGTGCTGGAACGCGCTCTTTCCCTAAAGAAAGTTCTATACCAGCACCAGTCAGTTTGCAAAGTCTTCATTTGAGTGACAATTGGATAGATAAGATATGTCTTAATTTAACTTTTGTTACATTTCTGAACTTAACGGGTAATTCACTTGGTCCGTTCTTAGCGGAAAATAGCTACATGCTAACAGAAAATAGCAGACTTGAGTATATATGTCTCTCAAAGAATTCAATCAAGCATCTATTTTCCAAATTATTCATTGACCAACCGTATTTACGCATTATTGATTTAAGTTTAAATAAGCTGACAGATGTGAGTTTTGATTTGTCTTATTTTGTAAATTTAGAGATTTTGAGTTTGTCTAGCAATGCCATACGGTTTTTGGACGATTGGTCAATGGAAAACATCGATATACTTCTTGAAAAAAGTAAAAGTATAAAAATTGACTTTAGCAACAATAGGTTTCACTGTGACTGTTCCAGAGTTCCTTTTCTAAATTGGATGAGAATTAGTCGTCGTCATTTCATTTATTTTGATCAGTACAAATGCATTTTCAACAATGCAAGCAGTTCGGAATTCAATTCATTTGAAGAAGGAATAATTGTTCTACAGCAAAATTGTTTGAACTATATCATTTCAATAATTATCACGTGTTCTACTATATTCATCTTCATATCAATATTACTTATAACCGCTATCCACAGACACAGACAGAAACTCCGTTTTATGTTTTATACATTTAGAGGTAGACTTCACTTCTTATATTATAAAACAAAGTTTAAGAACCGGTTTCGGTCTACAAAACATTCAGAAAACAATTTGGACTTTATGTATGATGCCTTTGTGTCATATTCAGATGAAGATCGAGCATTTGTTTTGAAAGACTGCATACAAAATCTTGAAGAAGAAGGAAATTTGAGGTTATGTTTACATCATCGTGATTTTGTTCCAGGAGAAGATATTACAGATAACATTATACATGCAATAGAAAGCAGCCGAAAGACCATTTGTATAATAACAAAATCTTTTCTACAATCTTATTACTGCATGTTTGAATACAACATGGCTAGAATGGAAAGTATTCACTCAAGAAATGGAGAAATGTTCTCTTTCTTGTATTTTATGAACAATTGTTACCAGAGGAGTTACCTTTGGTTTTATATGAAGTTATTCAGAAACAAACTTATATTGAATTCCCAAATGACGAACATGGAAATAGAATTTTCTGGGAAAAAATAAAAGATGGTATATCTGCTTAGTCATCTTGTCAGCAATAACAGTAAGCAGATATCCAGATGAGGAACATGGAAATAGGATTTTCTCTGGGACATTAGGAATGATGGTATCTTTACGTAGACATCTAAGCGGCTACAACATAAGCAAATATCAGAATAACGAACATGGAAATAGGATTCTCTTGGGGGAATATAAAAGATCGTATCTCTGCTTTAGAATCTTATCAGCTATAACCGTGAATTGATAACAGGAAAACATTCAATTATGATTTTCGAGGAGAACGAGAAAAAAAATTGTGTCCTCGCATACACTTTGGCGACAAAACAAAATTTGCCCAGCTAGTTTGTATATTTAGGAATGTCTTACATACACTGATAACATGCTGTTTAACTTTATTTCTTCATTGTCCATATTCTTTATCAGCATCAGTATTATATTGAAATAAGTATTACTTGTCATTTAATATATTCAGCGGATAAAAACCAGAAGAGAAAATATAACAAAACGAGGTCTGTGATCATTACAACCCATAGCCTATGACTTCGCATTTTTTACGTGTTTAGGCTGATATTTTGGTTTTTCTATATTTTCAAATGCAAAGTCATATCGAATATGGCTATTTTACATTGTTGTCTATATAATTGGATATTATGCGACAGCCATACAAGTGAGAGGTTTAGCTAGCTATAAAACCAGGTTTAATTCAAATTTTCTACGTAAGGAAATGCCTGCACTAAATCACTTGTGTTGATTAAGTCTTCAAATTAATTCAGTTTGGTCCTAATTTTGATTTTATTTGATAAATGTTTCAGATTTTGTTAATGACCTTCAATCAGACCTCAATGTCAGCCGTCAATAAAAAAGGCAAAATTTAGAATCAAAAGTCGAAGAGAAAAAAAATTAATCTGGCTTATAAGGAGGACTAACAAGCTTACGTGCAAAAATATATTAACTAGCGTAAAATACTTTCAGACACCAATAACTTTTCATTTCTATTGAGCAATATTCCAGCGGCGTCAGCATATGGCGTATATATCTCCCAGTTGGTACGATATTCTAGAGCTTGCGTATCCTATTCTTTTTTTCATTGATAGGGGTTGCTGCTTATAAGGCAGCTATAAAACCAAAGGTTCCTAATGTCAAAGTTGGAAAGTTCCCTTCGAACATTTACGGACGTCGTCACAATTTCACGGAATCAGATGACTGCTACGGAACACCTGTTTCACAGATGACGGCGAATGTGTTATAATTGTCGTAACCACAATTTCGTCCTCTTTATCTCGAGTGTAACATCCCCGAATAAGACTTATTACGGAATGTGTACTTTCATGATCAACACGACGGATGCTATATTTGAATCAGGATCTGCTAACCCTTCCAGAGAACTTGTTATCACCTACGGTTTTGGGTTGGTTGCGTGTTATTTGGTCTTTAGTTTTCTATGTTTTGTTTTGTTGAATGTTGTTTGTCTTTTCGTATTTTTTCCCTTTTTAGGCATGGCGTTGTCAGTTGGTCTTCTACTTGTAAGTTGTATTGTCCCTGTGGAATCTACTTGCTTTTTTTTGAAACAAAAAACAACCACAATTCGCAAGTCCCAAGTAGACGTCTGACGAAAATATCTTAGAATGCAAGTGCACCGAGTTAAACTATGTCGCCTCTTATAACCCATGCAACAACAACAACACTTGTATAAAAGAAAAATCCTAAGTAGATCTGCATTCGATAAAATACCGATGCAATTCACAGGAAGGAGACAAACCACTATTCAAACAGGACTCTCTAATTCTCCAAGTCGAGTTAGTTTAAGATTAGACTATGCAGTGTATAATTATTTCATTCTTGTCCTTAATAGACATGACATTTTTAGACAGACATAAGCATCTCTATAATATTACAAGTACAGCTACCAATATAACAATTATTTGCAATTACCTTTTATCCAATCCAGTTTAACCCTATAGAGAGATATCTCGGCTGAAAATGTATATTGTTTTATTTTTTTAAAGCTATATACACCATAGTTTATTTTTTACTATCAACATTTACTGGAGGCAAATATACTGCGCATTGGTTAATATGCCTTGTGTTACATTTTCACTCTCCTGTCAACAACAGATGTGTTAGGGTATACCGTTGTTGTTCTGTCTGTCAATCCGGTCATACATGTCCCAAACATGTCCCAAACTAATTAAAGAATATCTTGACCGATTTCCTTTAAACGTCTTTATTTTATTAACAATGCTTCTTTTAAAGTCTGTAGTTTTTGGACGATTTTCAGTATCTTCATTTTATTTGACCTTTTAGAGTTTTCTTACATGTGCAATGAATCAAGATTCGATTCATTTAGATAATGGTTTGAAGGTCTATAAACTATTTGCAGTTTTCACTTCTGTCGTTCGAGCGTTTCTTCATCAAACTCCCACAAAAAGTCTTACACATTTGCTCACTTATCATGTCTATTTAACTATAGAAAATTTGGGTGTTTCTTTTGGACGGATGATGTATTATAGAAAAATGTTTTGCCAACTATCCATAAGAGTCCACATAACGTACATGTTAGCAACTATAAGTCACCATACATGTACATTCTTCAGCTGTGAGCTAAAACCAAACCATATAGTCAGCTATAAAAGGCGGCACAACATGACAAAATTTAAACGAGACAACAAACCTTAAAAACAAAAGGCCTCATTAATGACTAAAAACAATAAACATAAAAAAAAGAAAAAAAAGCGAAAGGCAGCAACCAACAACATTCGCTGACTTACACTGACTTGTGTCGTCTGTAACATCTATATAATCTAGTATTGCCACGATTGAATCTGTGTTTTGTTGTCTGTAAAATCGATATAATCTAGTATTGCCACGATTGAAACTGTATTTTGTCCTCTGTAAAATCGATATCATCTAGTATTGCCACGATTGAAACTGTCTTTTGTCGTCTGTAACATCGATATAATCTAGTATTGCAACGATAGAAACTGTGTTTTGTCGTCTGTAACATCAATATAATCTAGTATTGCCACAATTGAAACTGTGCATTGTTGTCTGTAATATCTATATAATCTAGTATTGCCACGATTGAAACTGTGTTTTATCGTCTGTAACATCGATATAATCTAGTATTGCCATGATTGAAACTGTCTTTTGTCGTCTGTAACATCGATATAATATTGTATTGCCACGATTGAAGCTGTGTTTTGTTGTCTGTAACATCGATATAATCTAGTATTCCCACGATTGAAACTGTGTTTTGTTGTCTGTAACATCGATACTACCACGATTAAACCTGTGCTTTGTCGCATGTTACATTTCTATGTACATGTTATCTAGATGTGGATTGGTAGATATAGAAAAATATCAGTCCGCGAGTCAGAATATGAAGCTAGACGTCGAGTGAGCGTAGCGAACGAGTCATTTAGCTTCATATTCTGTCGAGCAAGCTGATATTTTTCAATATCTATACTATACACATTCAGATAAACTTTTTATCATCTTTCAAAGTAATGTTTTTTTATCAAAATTTCTTTTTTTCATATTACGCGAAAATTTAATTAATAGGCAACACACGTCATCAAAATATTAAACCGCGGATACACCTTGTGGCTGAAATACGCAGGGTAAAATATTCCCTTTAAATAGAGGAAGAACACTGTTTCGTGTACATGATAATACATATATGGGAGTATAATATTCAAAGATGATACAAAAAGAAGAAATCGGATTATATTGAAAGATCGTGGTATTTCATAGAACCAGAAGAATAAAATTTCTACTCGCTGACTGCTGAATAACTTTTAAGCATACGCTTCACAAAATAATTCCGGAAACGCATTAAAATGCGGTTTGTTTTCAAGACTGAAAATAAATATATATGTAAGTAGTCGTAAGTCATGAAGGAAAAGTTAATTTGAGAAATACAGAGATTGGTAAATTGTTCCTCTTATATGTAAATGCCTCGACATCTCGCATCATGTACCCGCCATTTGTACATCAGAAGACAAGGAAGGTAGGAGTTATTTTTGTAACGACTACCCCACAAAATTGCATATGAAAATATATCCATGGACGGTATTCTAATTAGGTTATGGAGGTATGGTATCATTTCCTTCAAGTGTGTGTTAACTTTGCCAAATGTCATCATTGAGGACAACATAGTTATTTCTAACATGTAAAACCAGTCAGGTATTTTCTTCTTTATTTCATAATAACTTCATGTTTTAATAACAGAACCAGTTCACCATAATTTTTTAAAAAATAATACAATATTGCTTCGCTGCATATGGTTGGTTCATGTTCATTGATTTGTCATACTTTTTATGACTTTGGAATTAAAATGACAAGGTAAAACATGTTTATGATTCTTGAAAAAATGTATGCGTTCAGTGTATGCAACTAGGTAGCTCAGGGGTCAGAGCAGCTCTTTATGAGAAAGTCTTAGATTCAAATCCTTACTTAGTTACGCTGAAACAGTGAATACAATAAATGGAATCTTGACATGTTTACACATAGTAATCATTTAAGATTTTGCCCACATCTGTCTATCTCATATAAATTATCAAATTCACATGTAGCCAATATTTATGATTTCTAACAGTTTTCACAAAAAAAACATTAAATTGTGACTTTTTGTGGAATATTTCAGGACACCAATTCAATATGCAGTGAAAATGTTACGAAATTGTCGTATGTGTGCTCTTTTTTATGAAACAATTATTTTTCTTTGCTTTACAAGCAATTGGAGAAAACTTGGTACATGTAATTCAGGCTCAAATAATTTGACATTAGTAATATATGCTTTCAGTGTATTCAACTAGGTAGCTCAAGAGTCTGAGCAGCTCTAAATGAGAAGGTCTTAGGTTCAGATCCTAACCTAGTTATACCGAAAAAGTTTCAAGACAATAAATGAACATCTGACGTGTATTAAAAATCATCTAAGATTTCAATAAATTTCCTGTTACAAAACTTAGAATTTACGAAAAACTAAGGATTATCTTATCCCAGGAATAGATTACCTTAGCCGTATTTGGCACAACTTTTGGATTTTTGGGTCCTCAATGCTCTTCAACTTTGTACTTGTTTGGCTTTATAACTATTTTGATCTGAGCGTCACTGATGAGGCTAATGTAGACGAAACGCGCGTCTGGCGTATACAATTATAATCCTGGTACCTTTGATAACTATTGGACATATCTGTCTACCCAATGTTAATTCTCATTGTACAATATCTGTCATTTCTACCAATTTTCACCACAATAACTTTAAAATGTGACTTTTTGGGGAATTTATAATTGCAAGACATATAAATACCCCTGTATCGTAAAATATTGGCCATTCGATACAATGTGAACCTTTTTGCTCGTTTGCTGTGCTCACTCGCCAAAAAAAGGTTCACATTGTAGCTCGCAACTGATATTTTATGATATCAATATGTAA